CTGAAAAATATTGCAGAGAACGATTAGCTTGATGACTCTGTTGTTAAACTGGAAAATGTATTAATGGATAGAGCAAATAGGGTCTTGAGACTTAAGAGGGGAGATAAGAATGTTATTCTGTGGTGAACACCGGAACTGCGGAGATTAAAACGACGGATTCGCGTATTTAGAAAACAGTATCAAATTAAAAATATTGATGAAAATGTTCGTATAGAAATGAAGATCCTATATAAAAAAGATTTAGCTGCATATAAGAAGATGATAACGATAGTAAAACGCCAGAATAAAATAGGATTCTTTTTTGAGAGTGCAAAATGTATTACGGAGGATTTCTTCCTGCGGCTAGTGGCAAAACACGTGTCTCGGAAATGATTATGAAAGAAAATGATAATACTGGTGTGAATAATTTTGAGGTTATAAAGGGTTGTTTTAATGGGAACTTTGACTGTGGCTCTGTTGAAGATGGTTTTTTTAGGTGTGGATTTGTTGCAGGATGATGGATGCGCTTCAGATGATCTGTCGGTTAGTTTGGCGGAAATTAGCAATGTGGTTAAGAAATTGGTAATTCTAGTGCTCCGGGACCGGATGGGATAACTGTGGTAAAATTTTTATTTTTGAAATATTCTGATTCCTTTGTGTTATTATATAATAAATTCTTTGACTTTTTCTATTTTCCTAAAGTGTGGAAAGTTTTTAGAGTTTTGTTTATTCCAAAATTTGGTAAAGCAACCAAACTTATATGTTTGTTAAAATTTTGTGCAAAGGTTTTGGATAAGTTACTTACAAATAAACTGTATTATTTTTTACTAAAATGATTTTGCATCTACAAAACAGTACGCATTTACAACAGATCTTTCCACGGAAAATGTTTTTTATGATCTTGTCAATATTAGCTCACAGAAGTATGAATTCTATGTGGCTCTGGTATCCATTGATGTCTCGAGAGCCTTTGACTCTATTAAATGGACATATTTTGCTCTTCACCCTTAGAGATTTGGGGATACCCAAAACATTTATAGAATTTCTCTTAGTTATTTTAACACAAGGAAAGTTATTTACAAATTTAATAAGGCTGTTTGTTTTGAACGAATGGTTTACAAAGGACGTCCATAGGGTTTATGCAGTGTTCCACTGCCCTGAAACACCGTTATGTATATAAAAATGTTGTGTTATGCTGATGACATTTTATGTGTGATTCGTGAAAACTGTTTGCAAAAATTAGAGAAACTTTTTTCATTTGCTGTAGAAGATCTAAGAATATATAGATTGAAAAAGAAAAGATGAGATTAAATGTAAAAAAACTAATTTCTTGTCTTATCCAAGGAATGAAAAAAAACCTAAACCACCACAATTAAAATATAAAGGTGTCAGAATTAAATGTGTTGAAAACTTTAAATACCTTGGTGTTTTTTTCGATTGAAACTGAATTTTGCAGAACATTTTATAATATTTATAAAAGAACTAACTCTATTCTGATGTATTACAAAATAAATTTCTGAGATGAGTCATTAGTACTGAAAAGTAACATTATTACGTTAATTTACAAAACAGTTATTACTCCCATTATATTATGCGGTGTTGCGGGTTAGAGAGATCCAGGGCCGTGGACCTGCAGCGAATCAGAAATAAATTAGATACAATACAACGACCCTGGCTGGTGCTTCTGACCATAAGCTTTAAAACAGTCTCGACGGAAGTCGTTTGCCTATTGGCGGGTATGCCACCCGTCTCGATATGTTATTCTTTTTATTATGAAAAATTCAAATTACGTACACAAAATGGTGATTGTATTACTTTTACTTACGGAGGTTTTACTGCATATAATACATGTTTTTCTATCTTTAATATTAACAGTATACATCCTGCATTAAGAACAGCAGTGGATATCAGAGGCCAAATGTTTGCATAAGAGAACTGCATATATTTACTGACGGTTCGGGTTATGACAAAGAAATTGGTGCAGCATATACGGTTTACTTGTTTGGCAAAGAAATAGACTATGGCAAAATTCTGGTTTGGAAACACTAGCAGATGCTGATAACACTAATGATTTGGTCTCATATATAAAAATCTCCTTGTAAAAGTTGAGAAAATACATGAAGTGAAATCAACTGGGTGAAAGCCCATACTGTTTTTATAGGCGGTGAAAGAGCCGACATGCTGGCCAAAGAGTCTGCTATGGGGTAAAGTCGGGGTTGCGTTCGATATTCAGGCATAAAAAATAATTGTTATCATTAAAATCAAGGATTTTTATTATGACTACTGAAAAGAGAAATGGAACATTTCGGTGAAAACGAAACATTATTTGTCGTACTTTGAAGTTTCTTAAAATATGAGAATGATATGTGATTTTGATTACAATCAAATAATTACTGAACGCGGGAGTTTCCCGGCGTACTTGAAAAGATTTAATTTGCAAAATAACAGTCTTTCTAGTTTCTGTAATGCTATAGGCAACGCACGACCTTTCGTCGAAGACTGGGTATTATTCCGACATATTAGGGAAAAGAATGGTAACATAAAGGAACTCTATTGCCGCAGTAAAGTGTTCAGATTTTCAAAGGATCTGATTGATTTTATAAATGGCAATAGAGTAATACTGGGAATTTTGGTTTGATGTTTTTGATTGTATTTTTGTTTTAATCTGTGTTGGGTGTGCTGCGTTAACCATGAGGCCGATTATCATCGGCCAGGAAGGTTGCAGCACACTCGTATATTACTTTCATTGCTACTACATGCAGACATTGTGAAGCTGAGTGAAAATGAAGCAGATAATCTCATTCTTTTGTTTGCTGCCCTGTACACAGTCATGCGCGTCCGCAGAAATAGGTGAAAGTACAAAGATTAAAGACAAATAACTGCTACAATAAATTTTTATTTAATTATTTATTTTGGGTAGTTTGCAAGTAACATTCTACAATACAGCATTGTATCAATATAAAAAAACATATACTATGGATGCATCAACACAATGCTCACTTTTTACTCCAAAAGGGCAAATGCTGCAATTTATCCTCTTTCCTGCAGATATCCATGTGCACAGAGGCATCTTTGAAAACAGCCAAAATTCTTTATTTTACTTATTTATTTATTTATTATTATTTTGTCAAACTTCCGATTTTCACAATATGCAACGCAAACTCAGTGTATGGTATCTGATCCATAAGTCACAAAATATCGAATACAGGCTAATGGCACTGTGAGTTACAGAATGCTAATGCCCCCACATTTTGCTGTTTTTTAATTCTGCAATTATCATTAGGTTATCAGCCTTAACGTTTTCCTTGTCACATCAATAAAAAAACGCGAATGTGGTAGCATTTCTTCCGCTGAATTCAAATATTTAATCATAATTTTCCTATCACGCAAAGATGATTTGCGACGTATAGTTAATATTTCCGTGAGTAAACGCAAATTTATAAGTGAATCGAGGACAGAAATCATCTAAAGTTTTGAAATATGCGACTTCTTGCTGTACTTAGCACGAGGAGTGTCTCTCTCTCTCAGAGGTAAGCATAATTTGGAGCTCCACTGGCCTTGATTTTTTTTTCAAAAATTTACCAATGAAAACGCTCATCAGGCTCATTACGCATTGCTTCAAGATCGTTAACAAAAAAATCTAGATGAAATTGTATCTCATGGCACATTTTACATCAAAAGATTGTCCATTACTTTATAATTCCCTTATATTTTGCTAAGAAATATTTGCTAACATTCTTGAAAAACTACCATACGATTACTTTAACTGTGACGATTGACTTGTGAAAATACTTCATAAATTCTAATTTAATATGTGGCAAAGGGAGGTAAGTTAAGATCTTCAAGAATCCTGAGGATGACATAATTTTTTTAGGGTGCTTCATTTTAGTTAATGTTTTCGAATGTAGTAATTTGTCCAGCCTCTACTGACCCATTTGCGAAGGAAAGAGCAGTATGTTATACAGCTCAAATCCATTTAACCAGGGATAGTCAACCTGGTACCTAACGCCCACTAGTAGAGAATATAAGCTTTAATGATGGGCGGTAGAGGCTTTCGTCTATCCAAAGGATGAAAGTCCATTCTCTCGCACTTAGCTTTCTACTGTTCCATATGTTTCCAAGGCTTTGCCACTTCTCTTACGTATTGTTTTATGAATATAGCGCGCATAATGGAATTATCACATCTTAACAAACCGGAAGGCTACGAGACATTTTTCCAAGAAACGAACTTCTTTTCCTACCATTGAAGTTTTCCTAGCCGAAACAGTTTCGGTCGAACCGATGTCCAGGCTAGCTACGCGGGATATAAATTTTGTCTCTCTTATAAATAAAAGCAAAGTATGAATGAGCAGAAAAATTTAACTATATATATATTTTTTATTAAACCTCCACTCAAAAAATTACTTTGCATTTATGCTAAACTAAATTACTGCGAAACCGGTGCTGCTACATACAAAGTGGGTGGTAGGTATAAAAAGTTGACTACCCTTGCATTAAACGATTCATTTTCCTCCGCGAATGCGAAAACAGCTATATTTAAATACATAAATGTTTCACATATATTTTGTTTTCATTGTACTTTTTGTAAAATCATTTTTCACAATCTAAACCCCAGTGTTCTTATATCACATAAGTTAAACATCAATATACTTATTCACCCTCACAGAACATTTGTATGTCATCAACTCACGTCACTCCAAAATTCTGAGAGTGTACTTCAAAATCAACAGAGGCGAATGTGTAAGTAGAACCGAACCAGAGACGAAATTAAATCTTTATTGTGTAACGAAACATTTTGATAAGTGTTTCAGATTGCAATAAAAGTTAAGGAATGTTGATACGAATACATTTTATGCTTTCTGAATTATGTAATTTTACACTGCACACCGAGTTAGGTAATATTACTTTACACTTTTTAGTTCTGTAAATACAGTACGAAATCTAAAAGAAATATACAAATATTTTATCTTGTTCTTAGCGTACTTCTTTTTCAATCGAATATTTTGTCTCATTTCTTTTAGATTCCAAACTACGAAATCTGAGGAACTCCACCTTGTGATATTTTATACACCAAAATGGACTTCCTACCATATGCTACCTACATATATTTTATATGCATCGTAATATTATATAAGTGTGGATTATTTTGAAGTTTATGCAAGAAAAGGAGCTTTCGTCACCGCACATTAGTGAATATGTATATTTCTGCGTCAATTCAAAGACAGCCAAATTCATTTTTAGCACGGGATGCTATGGATATCATGATTAAAGCTTTGTATTTAAACACTGTTATAAAAACTTATTTTCATTATTATAAACGAAGTCATATTTTTATGGTTATGGTTAAGTATCTCCTAAATATTAACTACCACGGAGGGGACACTTGTTGCAACAGGAAGAAGAAATAATGTGGTTGGTCTGTAATTTCATGACAGTGTAATATGGTTAATATGCAATGATTAGTTCAGCAGAAAAAATGTCAAAGTTGTATAATATTTTCAGATCACGGACTAGAAGCAATAACGTGGCCGAAACGCGAAACCCTCTCTTCTACTCAAATGATCCAGACTTCAGCTTAAATACTCGTTTCTACCTTATTTACATAAACCGAAATCCTGAAAAGTCATTCTGGCAGGAAAACGTAGGTAGGAAATGAGAAGGTAAAGGAAAAGCTAGTTCTAAAATAAAAATAACTATTCAAAAAATACAGTAAATCCTACATCCTTATAACAGCATGGAAGGTAACGATTCACAGCGAGAAGATCATAATCTCCGAAGGAAGCTGTTAAATAATGAATATCAAAAGGCAGCACATTCACTGTCTTTACAATGATATGATGACACAAGCAAATGATTATTCTGGCCACAAACATCAAGCTCCAACAAATTTTATAAAAGTTTTACCGCGCAGCGTTTGTTTACCAACGTCTCACACTCACAAAGAAATGGGGTCATAGATATCACCACTTGGATTATGAGGAACAAAATATTTTCAATAACTTTCATCCAGCTGCTTTTAATCCCTCTGACGGTATCAGCATGAACGACCAACCCATTCAAAGCAACAATAATAACCTTTTTACAGATAGCTCCAAAACGGAGAACGGAATCCCTTGGTATACCGAATTCAAAAGCAGCTTCTGGCAATGCCTATCTCACAAAGACATACTTTAAAATGAGTTCCAGCTCATACAGGGATTCAAGACAATGAAGCCTCTGACCTACTGGCCAGGCAGGCAGCCAGTTGCACGGATTTACTAGAATGACCAACAAAACTTCCTTGGTCTTACATGAAACGAACAACTTTGACAAGCTTGCTACAAAATTGGCAAAGTAGATGGACAGAGGCAGGGGTAGGACGAAGGATATATCGCTCACTGCCCAAAGTTAACACGCACATCAAGACCCACCGTGCTAGCCTAACACAATTCTTGACAGGTTATGGACCATTTCCAGTGTACCTCGACAGATTCAGACTTAAGGATATTCTTTTCCGCGAATGCGGAGAAGAAAGCGATACCGACCATTATTACTTTCATTGTGTACATAGAAGAACCTGGCACTTAAAGACACCAGCGGACTATGCCTGGACAATGTGGACGTCTAACACCCTCAAAAACAGACTAGCCCATGGTGAAATAGAGAAAATCTCAAGACACTACGTAAGCAGAAACAACTGTGAATAATATTATGCTTGAAATGTTCAGAATTTAAAGCTGATAATCAGAATAATGCTTGGTGCCTGCTGTTATCAAGTTATAGAAATATTATTAGTATGTAATATTCATCTTTCTTTACGTTAGAGTGTCCCTGCTGTGATGGTGTATAATTCCGTCTGGTTCATGTCCGTGGACGGAAGCCATCACTCAACTCAAAAAAAAATGTTTTCAGTGATATCAAATTACGCCAAATGAAGAGTTGATCAATAATGGATTTCTGTTATAAGCGATAGATCTGTTCTATGCAGAACGTTGATAATTCGTAAAGATGATGTCATCCCGGTGCAACAAATACTTTTTAACATTTGCAGTACTAGAACAGAGACCAATGATTAGGTCTAGTGGTTGGGATTAGCATGCTCCTTACAATAGCCAGTGGATTATTCCGCCCTTCAACGGCCGGAGTGTCACCGGTCATATGAACCAATGCTATACTTACTCCAACCTGAACTAACTAGATGGCACCACTACTATTCACCGCTGAATGGAATAGCGTCCCCACTGCTGGAAGTAGTCCTTGTGAGTACAAGAGCTGTACCACCAAACAACTGCTCTGCCTGTGGCAAACAGTCACCGAAGAACAATGCCAGTGCCGACTCTTTTACTCGCTTTCCTCTCAAGGAAGCACTGCCTCCCCTTCCCCAACCTTAGATTGATCCTCAGAGGCGTGACGTACACCCTAAGTATCGATCGGAATTTATAATAGTGAAAGTATCTCTCAGCTCTCCAATGTTCCAGCTGTATTACGCCCAGTGACTTTACCATTAAGTTCAGCGACAAAACATCTTTTTCTAACAGCACAATGTGCGACCATGCCTCAGTCATGCCTCAAGCGTTATGACGTTAACTATAGCAAAGTTACTGTAGCCAGTCCCTTTAACCGATTGGATTTTTCATCCACTAAACATTTCTGAGGCATAATGAGAAACAACGTCTTCAAGATACACCGCTGAATCTAGCACAGCTGGAAACGAATCATTTTAAAATTTTAACAATGCATATTTTTTTAATTCTTTAACTGTTTGATCATCAATGTGCATAGTTTCTCTGGTGAAAATTTCATCAAAATAGCCCAAGCATAATTTTGCAACTTTTTTTCAGCACTGTACATTGTAAAGATAAAGTAAAATAATGCATTCAAACAGAAAAAGGAATCTGTAGCTAAAATACATAATTTAAGGCGTTAGGAAAGCTTTTAGCTATTTTAATTCAAAATACCATAGAGTTTTATTTGTAAACATTTACAATGTTCTTCAGTGGAACGGTGTTACTTAAATGTATGCTTAAGGCACAATGAGAGATTGAAAAATTGTACATATCTCCTTCAGCAGAAGAAATGAGAAAGTAATTCAAACGAACAGCCAATAAAACAAACATGCTGTATTAAGAAAATCGAAATGGTTCAACTAAAGACGTTCTAATATCAAAAGTCAACATAATGTTCACAAATAATAATGTAATTACTGCATGAATTGACCAAGCACATACAAACAGATATTCGATTACGATTTTGTAGCCATAAAACATTATCAAGATATTAAGAAGCGCAATTAACTCAGTTTATTACACCATAATACATTGTTATATTCTGGAAAAGAAATTTCTTTGAAAAAATTTCTTAAAAATATTTTCTGTAGCATGGGCAGGCAACAATCTGTTATAGACAGCTCTTTGGTCAATCAGAATCAAGAAAACTTAACACACTGTGTATTGCTGATACTAAATACCAGAAATTTAGAAATAAGTCTTTCCAGTTGTAAGCTGCTATAGAAACTAGATTTAAGGAAGGTTTTCGGCACATATTTCAGTGATCAGGAAGCAGCTGACTCGAAGCTTGATATATTAAGCATTTACGTATTCACACATTTGTATTTAAAATTTTAATATTCGGTTGTATGCTTCAGTAATAAAATTCTTCACCTTATGTTTTTTTTTTTTTTTCATTTATGGATTTATTTTTCCAAAATACATCCATCAAATATGGATGAAGGCTGCAGTCGAAAGGTTTAGTTTCATTCTCAAGCTAAAATATTTTATGTACAAAACAAATTAAGGAGTTATATTTCCAGCCCTCATTATAACAGGAAAACTAGTATTATGTAAACAATAGTTAATAATTTTTTAATCAATAATTTTACTCTTTCTCAGCAGCATTTTTTTATGCTTTGCTTGTACAGATGATAATGCATCATAAATAATGCTTAAGTAGCTTCAAAGTATTCCTGAAGTTATCGCAATCGGTTATATTGTTTCAAAAATGGCAGTTCAATGTATGTATGTATGTATGGTGTAGTTCTCGATTTTCAATTTCATAAATCTTAAGCAATTAGTCTTCAATTAAAATGTTTGCAAAACAAAAAAGGAAGAGCATTAAATTTAGAAACCACATTGCGAGCAAAGGAAGTTGGTTAACTTCATTTAATGACTATGTTAATAAGAAGTGAGTGTTGCTGCAATGTCTAAACACAATTTACTAATAATGCGAGAGTTTTTATTGTCTGATATGTTTATTTTAAGATGTTATTCATTTAAAGTACTTCAGAAAATCAAACGTAAGATAATCTCCTCTTAAGATTTTTTTCATTGCTACGTTATATTTACTACTTTATAATCAATTACGAATTTTTTTCATTGCTACGTTATATTTACTACTTTATAATCAATTAAGAATTTTATTGATATAGCAGTATTAACAAACCATCGTTCTTCTATTTCTATAATTTTCTTATAACAGATTACAACAGCCTTGAATAGAGTTAATTCGTTATGCAAATCGATAATATTCATGGACGCCGATAGTCATCCTCTCTAATACGAGAAAAATTGTCTATAATCATGGATGTTTGTGTTAGAAAAGGCCCACAATATTTACTTTATCCTTATTTATTACCATAATATTTATTATTTTTATCAATTTAAAAAACTGCTCATTACTTACTCTTTTATTTATTGCTATTTTTTTAAGGTTCTTGATTATCTTCTATAGGGTATACTTAATTTGATAAATTTAGTCTACGTCAGTAGAAACGAAGCTTACGAATCGTAACTCGAAATAAGAATTTCAATAAATTATTTATATGAAATGCTTCTTTTAGTATTTGTTCAGTCCTTATCTTACGTTATCTACATCAGTGATCCAGTTCGACATCCCTCTGGAAAAATTACATCTTGCCGTTAATGTTCATTCCAGTTCTTATACTTAGCGCCGTTCCAAAATCTATTTGCTTGCTTTCGAGATATTAGGCGTGTTGCAGGTTCTATAATCCGCGGGATAAAACATTGCTATTGGAGACTTCTTCTACTCCACAGTGATCTTAGGTCATGCCAAATTTTAGTAGATGCTTTATGTTAAATTCTACTAGTTAATTTTGATTTGTCAATTTCCTCAAACTTTTTCATCTCGACAAAGTTCTGGTATAGCTTTATGATTAACTGAAATGCTATATTCTCTTTTGCATTTCCCCATTATACGGAGAGATTATGTTTTGGGATTCTATGATAATTCTTTCTCTAAGACTCATTTTGATTTGTGTACGAGATGAAGCCAGTATCCGACTTAACATCAATTATGAGAGCTTTCATAAACTACGTCTTTACAAATATAGTAGGCAAATATGCACAAATGATAGGATAACGTTCGTTCTACAGGTTTGCACTGTTAGATAAAATATTCCCGTCTTCTACAATTCAAATTTCATACTTATTTAGTAATGGTATAACCAAAATGCCATACATCTAAGCACTGTTAGTTCTTAAATACTTTATTCTTCTCTTTTAAAACTAATATCACACTGAGGGTATGTGTGTTGGTATTATAAAAGGAAAGTTTTATTGCTAAAGTGCATTCACATTTTATTATTCGAATTATGAAAGAAAAAATTACCACTCATGAAAAGCCTAAATGCAGAAAATAAGATATCCATACAGCTTCCATCCTATCGTTGACACTTATCCTTTTCTGTCCACTTCAGCATCTTTAAAACGTTGCCCATCCTTATATATTTCGCCAGTTACTGTTTTTCTAAAAGTCATTTACTTTTAAACTTTTTTTACTGTTGGAATTTATCATTTTCTGAACTCTGTCTTGCCGTAACCACACGTTGGAAAGCTGGCAGGTTACCGACTCCACCTCTGGTTCGTACGACGTCTCGGCAAAGGGCCAGCAATATAGTACTTCTTTAATCTGCCTTGTCTCCGAAGAAGTGTTACAGACCACTGTTTCTTGAAACGGTAAATTCAGAAGCACGTAAGGCTGAGCTGTGGTAAGTCCGAAGCACTTCATCTGGCCTAGCTGGATTAGTTATAGCATACGTAGTGGGTGAACGATTGGGAATTACGAATACGTTTAGGGATGAATTTTCGAATTTTTTTATCTGAATCTACTAATAGGATGTACCGTTACCCACACCCTGTCACCTGGTTTGTAGGAAACCTGTCTGTCTGTCTTTGACGATCATAATATTTTTTCGCTTGTCTTGCTTCTGTTCGATATAGACTTTAAGCTGCGGTTAAATGCCAAATGCTTTGAGATATGGAATTATCTCAGCGATGAAGTTATCTTTGTCGATCATTAACTTTCAGGTCGTGGATAACATCATCTTTTGTTCTTTAGTCTGGGCCAAAATGCAAAAATGCTGCTATGTGATTAATGGTTTCAAACTTGACAGTGTTCAGTTAAAAACGAATCACTGGCAATTCTTCTTTCCAGCAGCCATGTTTCTCTCCGACCAGTATGGCGAGTTAGGGTTTTAGATCCCTATTTTTATGTTCAAATGGGTTTGCCTGGAAATGATACACAGGAATAATGTCTTGCTTAATTTCAAGAAAACTGCAAGTTTGTTGTATAAAGGCACTTACGAATTGTAACGCGTTATCACTGATCAATCTGTTTGCAAGTTCATTTCGCAGAAAGACTTCTTCGATTAACGTTTTGGCGCAGTTTACAGCTGTTACTTCTTTAAGGGCAAAAACGTTCTATCTATTTTGTAATTGTATCTTCTACGATAAAAATCCATTTCTTACGAGAGGAAATATCTGGAAGAGGTACAAAAAAATTATTAGGCAGGGTTTCAAACCTTTGAGCATAAACTGGTGTTCGAAGGAGACCGGTTGGCTTTTGATTAGTTGGTTTGAAACGGTTACATTCCGGACAATTTTTAACATATTTAGAGATGTATTTGGGCAGCTTTGGAAAATATTATCTATTGACAACTTTATTGTAAATTCCTTCATCCCCATAGTGTCCAGTGGTTGGAACGTCATGGTGCTGTTTTAACACTGTTTCTCTTTTCTGGATACGTACTACGAGTTTGGCCTTCTTTTGTTTCTACTACGGGTAAGTAACGATACAAAATACCTTAATTGATAAGATAACCTCTATTAGTCCAGTTTGCGAAGTTTTCCTCTTTCGAAACGCTTTCAAAACAGTCAATTATTTTTTTCAGTTCTTCGCCATTCAATTGTTCTTCTCGAATTTTTTGGGACTTACTGGAAAATCTGTTGATATTGCAAATAAGTCACAAGGGACATCTTCATTTACGTTCGAGAGTCTGGAGAACATGTCTATACGCACATTAGCTTTACTAGGAATATACTCGATTTTCGGATTATAGGACTGAATCTGAAGAGCCCATATTGCCCAACGACCTGATGGTGACTTGATGCTCATTAAGCTATTTTAACGGCTGATGGTCAGATGCTATGATTATTTCTAGGTTTTCGACGTAACCTCGAAATTTCTCCCGAACCCAAACTACTGCAAGTGCCTCACATTTAGTAGTGGAGTAATTTCCTTCTGCTGGGATGAGCAAACAGCTGGCATACCTCTGGACCTTCTCCTTCAATGCGGACTGCTTCTACAGCATAACTGCTACCATCTGTACGGATACGAAACGGCTTCTGTTCATCTAGTTGTTTTAATAGTGGGGAAGATATTAATCTTTTCTTACATTCTTTCAAGGCTTCTTGCTGTTCGGAACATCAAATCCATTGTAGATTTTTTGTAAGATTACTAAATGGCCTTGCAATGCTCGCAAAGTTTGGAACATATTTCTAAACCATCAGCAAGCCAGTTGCATTACCCTTTATGGCACGTCATCCTGGGGCCATTTTCCAACAAAATAATGCCAGGCCACATACCGCTCCATGCGGTTGATACTTTTCTTTGGCCAGCAAGGTCACCAGACCTTTCACCAATCGAGCATGTCTGGGGCATGGTAGGCCGCCAGATTCGGGCACCACAAAATCTCTCAGATCTGGAGCGACAACTGATGAATGGCTGGTAGAATGTGTCGCAGGATGAGATTAGGAACCTCTACCACTCTTTGCCTCGACGAATTCAAGGATGCATTGCCGCCAGGGGAGGTTCGACCAACTACTAATTTGAACACTCAGTGGGTGTTTGTGAGCCGTGAGCAGGTACTATGACCTTGATTTTTTAATCATTTTATTCAGTTTCATCAAAAACAACCACTTCCTTGATGGTGCTTCGATTTTTTTTTTCAAAAGAGTATATATATATTAAACAAGGTGCAGCTACTAACTGCTCCCTGAGGATGCCCAGTTTGTAAATTAAAATATCTGAAGAAGGAATCTTCAAACTTTATCCTGCATGTCTTCTGGCTTGTGAAAAACCTAATCCAATTAAATAATTTTGATAAAACAGCAATACTGAGGAGCTTCTGGTAGAGGTTCTTCTTTCCAGACAGAATCATAAGCCCCCTTAAATTCAACATAAACAACTGTCAAAATGTTTTCGTCATCCAAAGCATCCTTAATAAATTGGCTGAATTTTGTCACCTGGGCACATGTTGACCTATTCCTTCGGAAACGAGCCTTTTCCACATCTAAAATACTAGATTCCTCAACATACCAGTGCAAGCGGTTTACCACAAATCTTTCCATAATTTTTGCAAGAATACTCGT